TGAAACACAGATTTGATGTAAGCTTAAAATCTAAGTGTGAAGTGAGGTTCTAAAGTACAATTCAGAGAACTATGTAGCTCATTTGGTCAAGCATTCTACTGGCTCAGTATAACTTGAAGTGATGAACAAAAAATCTATTCTGCTAAATCTGAGTATGGGCTCATTAGCTTGAAACAACTGACAAGTGAAAATTTATGGAAGCACTGAGTGCGTACCTGATCGGATGGTGAGATCTTGGATTCGATTAGTTTTTGTTGATTTCTAATCTTCCTCTTACGCTCTTCTTCTAGATGCTTCTTTCGCTCTTCTCGAGTGTGGAAATGGCCTAGCTAAAGATCTTCATATCGTTGGTTTATCCAACTAAGTATTCGATTATGATTCCTACCTTAAGCTCGCTCATCGCATCGTCATCAGTGCTGATGCCGGTTCGCTCTCGCACAAGCTGTGCAGCACGCTTTTTCAAGATTTGACTACGAGCTGGTCGTTTCACTACATATCTGGAGCCATCGCAACGTCTTTTCACCTAGGAACGCATCCTTTTTATTTTCACTAGTGAAAATCAGTGAATGCCTTACCTTCCACTTATAAACAATAGCTTCACTAGTGGGAGAATGCTGCTCGGTCATGTTTATTGAAGGACCGGCTGCATGGTCGTCACTCCCCTCAGTTATCTCTTCCACTGGTTTGTCAAACAAATACAATTTCGTTTTCGTTTTTACGCTTCGGAAAAACCTTAAGACGCACAGAAATGGAATAAAGAAAGGTCTATTTTGTTTTGGGTTGAAACTTACTTTGGCATTGGAAGATTTTGCTTCAACAGGCCATCATTCCGATTTTGACTGTTCTCATCCCTCGCAACAATCGACAGCGATGGAACTCTAAAAAAAGCTCATAACATACATCATAGTAAAAAATGCCTCATAATCAGTTTCTAGCAGAGTTTACTTGGAAAATATTGCAACATTCGCTTAGCAAGGTTTACACAAAAATTGTAATGTTTTTATATGAATGACGTATTCTGTACAGTCCTATGATGTGGTGCATTAAAGTGGCTCTTAAATCTTAAATTCGATTTCTTTTGTGGAAGTTTGCTGCGTGGAGCTATTTATGCACTATCGTGCAAATATTCCGATATCATGGGGTCGCACTTCTGCAAAAGCATAACCTCTTTCCAGCATAAGCTGCACTTAATGCACCTACATTCGCAAGAAGCATGCTGTAGTAAGGCGCTCTATAAGCCTAACAAAAAAGAATGGAAAATCCATATTATAATATGAGAGATGGTTTACGGGCATCGCTGAAGTGCCTATAGGAAAAAGATCTTGTTAAGCCAAACGAATAAATCCCTATTAGGGACTAAACTGGAGGGTAGCATTATCTAGCAGCTTGAAAACAACGCCACCTTTCATCCTTTCCTCCCCCTTCACATCGCAATACATGCAAGTCGTTACATTCTACTCCACCAACAGCCTTCATGTGTTGATGTGTAGATTATGAAGGCTCTTATATATTTGCCTCCCACATTAGGCTCTGCCTCGAAAGGACCCATAGCACCGCCTACATTAGTTTGGGCTAGATAAACCTAAGAAGCGTGATGACAAAAGGATGGCGTCTTGTGCTAAATGTGTATTTGAAAGGGTATGCATTTTTCTTATGAAGAAATAAAGAATATTTTGTGCTTTCTTCGTGGAATCAAAAAGGGTTGTTTTATTGGTTAATTTGCAGGCCTTAGAGTCTTCTTGAACATCTTTTCAATAAGATCAAGCCTGTATTAAGGAAGTTTAAACTGTAGATGTATTTGACAAAACCAGTACCATACATTCCTTAATTATTTGGGAGATAACGGATGAATGTGATGGAATTCCTGTCGCAGAGTCATTTTCTTAAGAGCTTCGGAAGTCTATTCACGAAAGATAGTAATATGAATATGATGTGAAGAATATATTATGTTGTACATTATATTATACAACCATGTACTATGTAGATTACAAATATAATAAACACTCAATTAATTCCTGCAACCAACATTCCTAATTCCTTCCGAAAAA